CCTGCAGCTTGACCAGCCTCGGGTTCTGTGCACTCTGACTTGCAATGGTCTTTTTTCACTCCCATTATTGTCATCTCACACTTGTTTTTCTAAGATGTTCTGCTTCTCTCTCCAGTTAGGCAAAACTTCTGTTTTTACTTCTTTATAGCTTCCTTCACTCTGCTTGTTAACCATGTTGGTATATCCTTTTTGGCTGTCCCTTACACCTACCTTTTAAGTAACCTTCTCCTTCTATTCAGAAGCTTCCTCTCTTGAAATTAAATAGACCGTATATACCAGTGTAAAAGGCGACTCGTGTATAAGACAAGGTTGATATTTTGGGCTGTTTTTCTGGTGTTTGCTATGTGTCAGGCGTACAAGAAGAGCCCCTTGAAACTGAAAATAGCGAAGCAAAAATTGGGGCCCGTATATATAGCGTATGTCAGCTGGAAGCTTCTAGACTCTTGAGGTCACATTACCATTTTGTACCTAATAGTCACGTTCCCTCTCCATTTCACTGGAGATGGTTTTGTAAAGTTGGAGGTCAACAGCGGGCCACGAGTCAGGGAGAACAGTTGGCACCAGGGCTGTGGATGGGTGCAAGTGGAGTTGGGAGAGAGGGTGGAGGCCCACCTGGTCCACACCGTGTCTCTGCACAGACAGCCACATTGGAAATGCCCCCCTTCCAGCCGCCACTGTTTTTTTCACAAGGAATAGAACGTGATGAAAAATTTTCAGCTCGCATATAAGATTTTTGCCTCCCTATTTCAGGGTCATCTTATACTCTAGTATATACAGTAACTGTGTTGAATACATGTGAATACATGTCATGCAGAGTCAGTCTATGGTCCATCCTGCCCAGCATTGACTTCTCCAGTGACCACCAGCTCTCTATGAACCTGGACCAGGAGGCCCTTCTGAGAGCCTTCTGCCTGTTCCTCAGACCTTCTGTGTGCAAAGCATGTGAGATAGACTGGTAGGACTGAGGCATCTCCATGCATGGTTAAGATGGTGTTTGTGGAACAGGTAAGGGTTCAAATATCTTAGACTCCACTTGACCCAAATGAAATCCAAAAACTGCTGATGTTCACTATCAAAAATACCACAGGGTAGCATTTCAACTGATTCTTAGGAGTCTGAAGGCAAGAACAAAGACGTGTCCAGTACCAAAGGACTTCTTCAACAACTTAACCATTTCAGGTCCTCCAAATAGTGCAGAATTTAGCTCTCAGTGCATGGGGAAAATGGCAGCTGTTTTGAAGGGACAAAACAGGGAATATTACACATGTCAGAGGAACAAAATCCCCCAGAAAGACATGGTGGGGGAGCTTATTATAATTTAAGACAAAGGTGGCTAGATGGCCACTCTGGGCTTAAAGTTGTCAGGGTAGCCCCAGCTGGGCACAGTGAGGTCACCCTCCCCAGTCCTCCGGCTGGGATCCCACTGGGCCACTGTTGCCTGCTTCACCATCGTGCTTCTCTGGCAAAGCCAGCCAAGTGAGATGGCTTGTGAGCAACCGTGCTCTCCAACATCAGCAGGAGTGTGAGGTGAGGAAGCTGGCCTGGGCTCATGAGCCACTGAATGCTTGGCTTGAAAGCCCCACCTGAGGTGGATGATGCTCCCCCCTCTGCTGCACCACCCCTGAGTGGCAGGAGACACCACACAAGGTGCCTTCCTTTCCTACGGCACCAGAGGTGAGCAGCAGGGAAGAGACTTGGGCTATACCACTGCCAAGGGAAGGGGGGTCTCACACAACACACCAAGCACTCTTATTGAGGAGTGGCGCTTTCCATGTCAACTGGGATGGGGTGGATACCCCGCTTCCCTTCCAAGATCAGAGCACTGACTTTGACCCAAGTGGGAATCTGACAAATCCTTTGGTCCTTGGGTCACTGGCCTAGGACAATACAATTGCTCTCTAATTCTACATGGCAGCTGAGGAGGATGCAGCATGGAAAAGGGTCATCCCTAGCGTGCCCTCAGCAGCAGCCATCTATACACCTCCTGCTCCTCTCACCTTCTCCAGGTCAGCCTCTTTGACCTACAAGGGATGGTTGCTCCCAGACAGCCAGGGAAACACTATATGAAGTCCACACCCTTGGCATTGGCCCACGAGACCCATGATCCTACAAATGATGTTCTGCGCAAAAGGCTGGATTGCATCTTCACCCCGTTGGCTTTCTAGCTTCACAGTGTGCAGCCGTCATGCCTCAATGCACAGACTTCTGTGTGGTTTCTGGTGAAATCGCCATTTTCTATCAGAAGCCATTTTCAAGTGAGCTTCTTCATGATTCACTCCCACAAGGAATATATTTAACTTTTTTTCCTTCCACAAAGAGGAATTAGCTTTTACCACCTAAACTTTCACCTTCCCTTTTCATCAGAAAGGACAGGACAATGTGGTTTGTTGTCTCAGCTGGGTTCAGACCACACAATACTCCATGGCTCTACAACAACCCACAGGTCAACAACAACCCACACTCAAGCCATATTTAACCCTTGAGCGTAGATTACCATATTGTCCGAACCCAAGTATTACGGGGTAGATTTGTGTTTGGTGTGTGTGTGTGTGTGGTGGGGGGAGTAGATGCTGCTGGGGCTGAGTGTGGGTCGCACGGATTTCCTTCTGCCATAAGACAAGTTCCCTATCCCCACTATTTTACCTTCTCTTGGTTGCATTTCCTTCTGTGTACAATGTGGGTTTTTGCCAGAAGGGGAAAATGTGAGTCCAGAGATAGCTGTGCGGATGACAATTGGAGGATTTTGCAAAGGGGTGTATTTGGGGTGTTCTCAGATGGTGTTGCTCTTCCGTGTGGCACCCTCAGCAACCTTGTGGAGGTGCGGTGGTGCTGTGACTCCTCCCCCTGTGCTCCTGAGCTTTGATTCCCAGTGCAATGGGAACTGCAGCAGCCGCAAGAACAGACGAGACTGGAAAAGCCCTGTTGTGCGGCCCGATTCTTCTTCAGAGGCCACCCTATTCCGCTGTCTTCTCTGTGCCGGTGTAACTTGCTCCTGGACAGCAAAATACAGCTCTGCAGGAGAGTGCTTCTGTGCAGATTCTCATTACTTTTATTGTTACAACATGCAAAAGGGAAGATTTTGAAAGTTCAGAGAATGTTTTCTGTCTGATGAGGGGTTATGTCCGCATGGCAAAGTAGCTCCATTAGCACTGCCCACATATATTCCTCCCAACCGGCTGTTCTGTCTGAGGGTTTCCCTACTTAAGGGATATAATCTGGTGCTTCACCAAGACTTCTTTTTCCATTTTCTTTGCAGGAGGATTAGGGCATCCTTCACAGGAAGTTTTCTTTCTGGGGGGTTCCCTCCCTGCTTTTCTATACGTTCCTATATGTTTCATTGCACAACACAAGGCAGCGCTGTGGTACAGAGCAGAATTGCAAAAATACACCAGGCTGTTGTAGTGAATAATAGCACCATCTGGGAAGGCACCACACTTCCCTCACTGGTGCCTTCCCAGATTGCTGGAAAACATGGCATACGCCCTGGAGGACGAAGGCCACAGAAAAGACCCACAAACTTCCATGAATGAGGCATCGTGAGTGCACAATAAATGTGGAGAAGCATGCGTCTATGCTTCTTTCTACAGTGTGTGTTTGTGTGTGAGAGAGAGAGACAGATAGCTGATTATACTGTGTGCTTGTGTTTTCTGTGTCTGTATGCAGTTTATTGTAAAAGGAGAAACTTCTGTTTGTGTCCTTTATATTGGAAGAGAGATGTCTTTTGGTTTCAGGAAAGCATGGATATTAGAATATTCCCACTAAAATATCTAGTGGAAACTGCTTTTTGCATACTTTGACTCCGATTCCAAAAGAGTGCTTTTGGGGGTTGTTTCATTTCCCATGTGCTTGTTTCCACGCACAATTTTAAAATTCATGTGCTGACTGTTGGGGATTCAAAGGCTGTTTAGCCTCTGGTGACCCCCGCTTGGCTTCACTCCAGTGGCTCAACTTCTGCCTCACCAGGCAGGCTGGCCAACCAGCCTCCGCTGTGCCAGAGGGATCGTCCATTTGAGCAACGGAAAGCCAGTGAAATTCTGGCCCAATGGAGCTGGTTTGCCAAACAGGCGATGCACAAAACCATTGGAGACACTGGTTCAGGAAAGCAATTAAAAATTTGCGAAGTGGCTGCCCCTGGCGGACAGCCGCTCTTCAGTTATGTGGTCACAGATGATCTCCAGCAATGAAGCGCGGCTAATGCTTCTGCAGCCACGTTCCAGGCCACAACCACAACAGGAAGGGTTTACAAAGAGGGGAAAGAACTACACTGTCTAAAATTCAGCTCACGCAGATGCTCCACTTCAAGGGAAATGTGATGTCCCCGCAACAGAAACACAGCAATAAATTCGTGATTCCACCATATTTAAAAAGTGCAAAAAAGACCTTAAAGGTACAGAAACAATCAGCTGCTTGTGACATCGCTGTCTGTGCAGAGGAACTAGTTAAATTAAAAGAAGTGGAAGACAGTGGGGGGTCCCCCTTAGATAGATTTCAAACGCTTACACTCCCAAATCCTGTTTCGTTAAGCATGCCTTGGATATCGGTCCCCCAAAGGCAGCCTTGGAGACTGCAGCAGGCTGGATGAAAACCGCTGCTAAGTTTTAGAGGCTGCGATCCTAAGGGAAGCCGGCCGGCGCCCTTCGAAACCTCATTAGCGGGACTTCTGCTTAGTGCATTGATGACTGCATCCACTCGGGGGCACCATCGGTCTCTCCGACCGAGTAGAGTAGGCAGGGGTGGGGGTTCGCTTAAAGCGGCGGTGCGATGGGCGCTCGCCAGGTGGCGCTGTCCCTTTCTCCTCTCCTGCCCACAACCCGTCCCCCCCCCCCCTTTTCCCCCCAACACCCCCCCCCCCCCGCCCCATATCCCGCGCGGATAAGCCCTGATGTTCTGCACTGCCGTTCTCCAAACCATTCCGCGACATCCATCCCCGTGCCAGCATGGGTGGCCGCCGTCCAGCACGGTGAGCGGTGCTGGGGTCCTGGGTGCCCGGCGTAGGAGTGATGGGGTCCCCCCAGGGGTACCGAGCTTCGTGGTGGACGTTCCTTCTGCACCAGGCACCGCACATCAACTTCCAGTTTGAGGCCGTGGCGAGCGAAATTGCTCCAGATGACTGGGATTACCAGCAGGTGAGTCCCATGCGAAGGTGGACAAGGATTGGGTGGGGTGGGGTGGGGTGGGGTGGGGAGTGTGGGTCGCGGGAGGCGAAGAAATCGGGCAGCGCGATGGGAAAGGGAAAGTCAGTGAGAGGAGGAAGAAGATGCACGGCGGGGTGGCAGCGGATAGATGAGGAAGGGAGACGGAGGGAGCGGGAGAGGCGAGCGGGAGAGAGAAACGGAGAGTGTATGGATAGGGGCTGTAGGGATAGTGATGGGATTTGGATGGGAGGAATGATTGAAGATGGAAAGATTAAAGGCAGGCAGCGGGGGGGGGGGGGCGTCAGAGGATTTGAGGGATGGGAGGACGAGAAAATCAGGCTCGAGAGAGCAAGTGGCAGTCCGAAGAGCAAAAGAAGAAAAACCTTGGATGGAGAGATGGACAGGGTGTGAAGGGGAGGAAGGGAGGGAGGGAAACAGTGGATAACGTTAAGCCTAAATCGGGGAGAGAGGGGGGGAGGGGGAGGGGAGGGGAGAAGCAGCAGGAGTGAAAGTGGTACAAGACAGGAAGAGAAGAAGAGGTGGGGAGATGGGGCAGAGGGTGGGGTGGGCTGAAGGGCACTGGCAGGTGAATCAAGCAGAGGTAGGACGTGTGAATGGAGACCAACCTGAGCGAGTGGATTGGGAAAGATGGAGGAGCAGCCTGAAAGCGAGGGGAAGAGGTGGATGCAAGTGAAAACGCAGGCAGATGGAGCAAAAGAAGAGGCCGATGTGGAATAGGAGGCAGACGGAGGGAGCAAGAACGGCGGGGTTCGGGTTGCGTCCCTTGCGCCAAGAGGCTCTGGCTGGGGGGTCCAGGTGCAGCCTCAAGGAAACAGGTGGTGTCTGTGGCCATTCTCTGTGTCGGAGCCCTGGAGCCCTTGTCCTGTCTGATCTCGCCCAGCATCCTCTAAGTTCCCAACGCGCCTGTGGGTGATTCACTTGGTTTTCTGGCCTTCTTCAGAGGAACAGGCCATTCTGGCCTGGAAAGCACACCCAGGGCAAAGAAATGTGGTGCATGAACCAGATGAATGTGGAGATGTGGTTGTGCCAGGCAGAAAACGCATTGCTGAGTGGGTGGAGACACACATAAGTTTGGCTGGTTCATCACTTCCCTCTCCTCTCCCTGATCCTCACCCGACCTGGTGACTTCCGTCTGTGCTACACTGCACTTCCCACCTGGGGGCCCCCGGCTGAGGAGAAGATAGCTCTGCACCAACAGGTGTGGTGCAACTGCGGACAACTGCAAGGGGTGCTGGTCCACTGAGTCTAATGCCTGCCTATGCACCTGCCTTACCTGGGAATCCTGTTCATCTGTTTTGCACACCAGCCTTTCTTTTCTCAGCCTCTTACATCTTCATATCAACACAAATGTGAGCTTGGGAATATGGGAAGCAGCTTTTGCAAGCTCCCCTCATTCAGTATGGTCCCCTCTTGGTGGCTTTCCAGGGTCTTGAGCAGAGGGCTTCCCACCTCCTGCCACTGAAGCTCCTCTGAAGTGGAAATGCAGAGGTCTGCAACAGGGCCTTCTGCAGAGACAGCAGGTGTGAGGTCCTGAGTGTGAGATGTGATCCTGACCCATCCTTGGGGCAAGGCCTATGCATGGAAAAGTTTCATTATGAACATTCCTCAGCCCCAGTATTTTCCAGTGAATTTCTCTGAAAATTCTAGCTTTCCCTTGGATGATCTGCACTGCTTTCTGATGTGGTTAACGATAAAGACAATAACAATACATGTATATCCGCTTGCTGTTTTTCCTCTTGCAAGGAGCCTGCAGCAGCTCATGTGCTCTGCCTCCGCTCCATGTTATCGTTACAACGATCCTGTGAGGTAGGGGAGCCTGGTTCAATGTCTCTCGATTAACTTAATGGCTGAGTGGGAACTTGAACCTGTACCTCCCCAGTCCTGTCCAACACTCTATCCAGGTTCTTGTCAGGGAACTATAAGAATAATAGGAAGAAGGGACAGATGGACAGATGGATTTTTTTTTTCATCCAGGACTCACTCTTAACTCAGGCCATAAAGGGTTGGTTACCAATTTAATCAAATGGGGATCTGGCCACAAACTATAGTAAACATACTAGAAAGGAGCCACTGATGCCGCTGTGCCAATAACTGCCCATCTACCTAATTTTATGAATTGTACCCTGTGGGACTAACCAACACATGATTTGGAAAATGCCAGAGAAACGTGGCATGTTCTTTTGGATGAGCAGAATTTACATGTCTGAAATAATGAATATCAACAAACTGGGGTTAGCAAGGAAAAGGTCAGCCCTTCTGACCTGGGGTCAGTCCAAAGGGGTGGTGCCCAGCTCTGCCTCTCAGAAGGCATTCGACAGTGTATCTGGCTTCTTTTCCCCAGCGGGAATGATATTGCTGTACCCAGATATTGCCAGAGGGGCCATATTCCCAGTTCCAAGGTCAGAGATGGCGGTTCAGCTTCAGAACTGGGAATCAGAGACCTACCACGGCCCCACAGCCGTCATGGAAGGGCCTGCGCCACCTGGTCTCCAAAGTGAGGAGAGCAACTTCAGAGGGAGGCAGAAGGAGGTAGAGACAGGTTGCATGGTATCCTGAAACTGACCCAGCCTCCTTACTTCCTCCTCCAAGATGCTCAAGCTAGACTGGGGCACGGCCCATCTAGAGAAAAGCAGAGTGGGAGGATGGGAAGGCGGAGATGGCCTGCACCGCCTCTCCAGCTCAGCAGTGGGTGCCCCAAAGCCTCAGTATTGAGAAGATTGCAACCTTAATGCATTTCTGCAATAAGGGAAAAGAAGTGGTGAGAAAACATAGAAGGATTACAATTTGAGGACAGCAACTCCTGGACACCATTCAATTTGGTGACTGGGCAGGGTGACGGCAGTATTAAAGCCCTGTCTGGGAGCACCCTTGGAGAAAATTGTTGAGTAGATGAAGAACCACAATTAAAAGACATTGTCCCAGTTCAGCTTCCCCGGCGGGTCTTCGAAGCCTCTTCTGAATAACCAAGAAGAGCTGCATCAATGCCTCATTTCTCCAGTGATGATTTTTTAACAGGTGCTTTAAATGCAAGCAAAAGGGCAATTATTAGACAAGCCACACTCAGTCATTCACTCTCACTTCCACCAGTCAGAGGTTTAGGTCTATCTGGACACTGTGATGCCTCCCATTCGTTTCTGTAATCTTTGCACAACAGCCATGGCTGCTTCTGTCCTTCATGAATCCATTCCATCTTCTCCATCCCATTTTGGATCTGAGTTGTGTTCTCCACATGATTCCAGTATCCCACGGCAATCAGTTCCTTTTCCTAGTGAGCAAAAGAGGCAGGGACTTTTTCAATGGGCTACAGGAGGTCCTGCAGTGAGAGCAAAGGAAAACTGATGGATTTTGGCACTAATGGATGGCTTGCCTTTGTACAGAACTTCCCCTGTGTTGTGTTGTACAGTCCCCTGCAGTTTTCAGTTAAAGGTATAACACTGAAGGCAAACTAGAAGAGGATGCCAGCTATGCAGAAGATATGAAACTTCATGCGGCAGATAAACAGAACCCCAAAACCCTTTTGATGGAAGAGTTCTCATCTCCGTTCCCAGCATGGGGGTTTTCACAGCAGTAGTGGGTAGATGAATGCAGGATAGGATTGCTTTGTACACTTCAATCCAGAAGAAGACAACAGTTGGCAGGCTTACATAAAAGTGTGCACATACTAATTTATGCATATGAATGCTTTCTTAGAAGTTGTTATAGCTTAAATAGAAATACATTCCGTCTAGCCCCAGTGGGGAAGAACATAACCAGGTGATTGGGGTGGCTGGGTTTTGGGGTTCTGTTTACCTGCCACATGAAGTTTTATATTTGCATTAAGAAACAGGTAGAAAGTCTTCCGCATAGCTGGCATCCTAAATGGCATCTGGCCATTTAATAACCGTTGAGGAACAACTTCGAGGCTCTGCCTTCTTTGGTTCTTTCTCCTTAATCTTTCAAATAAAGGATGGCTGCAAATAGAGGACAGTCCACTGTGAAAGAAGGTGTGTGGCCACCTGTTGGGAACATGCCGTTCTTTGAAAAGCTTGTGGTCCCTTTGTCATGGAGATAATTGGGGTGTGATTTGATGCATGCTTAAATTGGAAAACAAAGATCTGCCATTTCCAGCTGGGGAATTTTGGGAATTAGAGTATGTTTTTGCCTAAACATGCATAGGATTGTACCCTGAGTTGTGCATTATGTGGAATGGAGAGATAACAGTGCAATGCAGTCCTTGGCATTCAGTGGGCATCTTGTTCTGCACATGCAGAAGAATGAGGCGGTAAAAATCTTGGTGCTAGAGTAGACTGTACCATTTCAGACTGTGGAGAGGGGGATCAATTCTGGATGTTTATCTTTTTAAGAACAATGTTCAGGAAGTCCAGAACTGCTTATCAGGGAGAGAACTCCTACCCCATCTCATTCCCTGTTGTGCTGGTTTTCTGCCTGCCTGGAGTTTTCCCACACAAAAATGTTCAAAATTGTGACAGACAACTCACCTGCAGCTTGACATAGTACAATCCATTCTCACATTTTTTTTAAATGGTTCAATCTGCTTTCCACTGCATGTGTAGAGAAGGCATGATTCACTCAGTCAAACATCATTGCAACCTAAAATGGTACAATTTTTGCCTGTATCACTTCAGGGTAAAGGAAGGCAAAAATCCAACTTGAGATTGTTTTTCTGGTGTTTAAGAGAAAAAAAAAGTTCCCTATAGGTAGTAACCTAGTATATTAAGGAAAGGGTCACCCAGTTTATCTTGGATCTGTGTTTTGCCATTCTGTGATTTCAGGTCATTTCACTTCTGAAACATACAAAATGGAGTTTAACCACAGAATCCATCACCAAATCCCCAGTTCTTCTTACCTCGTTTCCTAAAAAGGCATCCTGGATGCTACAGAAAATGACCCTTACATTTCAAAACCCACGTGAAGTTGGATGATTAAGTGAGCTCCCACAAATCCTTCTCACTTAATTCAATTAAAGAATG